ATCCCTCCCCTAGTGCACCAATATTTTTATTTCTCCAGTTTTCTTTTGTTTCATATCCCACGAGACTCGTCTGTCCGAAGCCTGTCCCCCTCAAGCGACAGGGCAGACGTGAATCATCTCCTCCTTAAACTAATTTCCCTCACAAAGAAACACCATCAGACGGACTGGAGACGGCCCCCCTCAGGAGCTCATTAGCTGTGACGTCAGCATACTATGTGCTCCCTCGCCCCAGCTCCTAATTATCCATCAGTTGAGTCATCCTGAACTATAACCGTGTTGACCATGACTAAGTTGTATCTAGTTTTGAAATTATTGCATATTATTATTAGTGTTATGTAACCTGAGACTTTAAGAAAACACCCTACGGGTTTGTAACATTCGTAAACCTTTTGTCACTTTCGATAATACATACACATAATGTTATATAAAAACGACAATCTTGTGAGTTGAATTCAGTAATTTATGAGGATTTAAAAGTGAAGCGTAACATTTACTAATTTAACAGTACATTTATGTTATTACATTGACCTTGCCGAATACCGTAAAAACATGTTTCCGCATGCGTGAAAGCCTCTCTGACTTCCTGTTGGGACGTTGTATCCCTCTCAGCCTGAGTTGGCCCTGACGATAGGCATAATCTACGCTCGCCTCCTAAATGTAAATGTTCTAAAATGTGTCTTGAGAAATTTTTTTTAAAATTAAAAAAATTAAGCGATTTTCGCTGGTAAAAGAATTACAATCTACTTCGTGTTCAAGTTTCAGAGATGAAATTTGGCAATATAACACAGTCGTTTAGTGCTGAAGAAAAGCATGTCATACAGACAGAAAAAAAAGAGGAATAGTTAGAAGACAACAGTAGCGCCCTCTTAAAACCCACAAGAATCAACTGCAGAAGAGTCCGACTTCGGACTTCCACCCCCATGACCAGCGATGTAACTTAATGAGGACGCACATTTTGCACGTTTGAAGACGGGTCGTTTTGGGGGTAGCCTACTTTAAAAAGATACATAACTTCCTTATAAATTCATATTATATTGAAATTCTGATTCTTTTATCCGAAAGTTAAACAACATCCATGCTATGAAATATGTAGATTAGTGACTTCCCCTCACCATGGCGGTGCTACTGACTGAAGTCAATGCCGTGCTCATACTTGGCCG